TCGGTGAATATGACTTGAAACCAGAGAGGAATTTAGAGAAAGAGAGAGAGAGAGAGAGAGAGAGAGGGAGAGAGATTATTATTGCTTTCTTTGTAAGGCCAATGGGAGATATCTTACAAGGTGTTGGTGACCTTTCTTTTATCGAATGAAAGGGGGCGTCCAAACTTAATATGACAAATAAATACAATAAAATAACGAGATGTGACAGCCTGCATTTCTTTGTAGGAGAACTGGCGTCAAGCCGTTTGGAGAAGTCTCGCGGGCCCCAGTCACATCCCTTGGGGGATATCTTCGCCCATCAGGGTCCAAATCGATGCTCGATCTGGGCAAGGCATCGGCTAGGTCTCGAGAGGGAACCGGATCGAGATCCCGTGCCTTCAGGATTTGCTCTTCGAAGCATTGTGTCGAGGAAAATTGGTCTCCCGATTTCCCCGCATACAATCAGCAGGTAAGCACATCTTCAGGTTATCTTTGACTTCCAATTAATTTCAGTTATTATATTAGCAGTTCATTTTAACCTTTCAGTTATTTTATTCCCTTGCATACTTGGTACATTATTTCGTACTGACATCCCTTTTTCTAGGGAAGCTGCATTTCATGTGTGCAGGTTCAGACAGACAGACGGGTAGACCTTATAAGTAGGTGTTGCCCGAGTTCAGCTTTATCGGTAAGCTCCGCATCCTTCGGAGTTGCCGGGTCTAGATTTTTCTATACATCTTGTGTATATATGCATATAGGTTATGGGTAGGTCGGGAGCCCTGTTCCGATCACAGTACATCCATCAGTAGAGGCTTGTAGACATAACCTGTCAGTTAGTGCACTATATTGGGCTTGTAGGCCTTGTATATATATTTTGTTAGTTTGTCAGGTGTAGTAGTTATGAAGATTGGGCCGGCTCAGCTTTATATTGATGTTTAGTCAGCGTTAGTTTCCATTCTGTTTTATATTTGGCCTTGCAAATTGTCTTGCAATGTGGCTCAGCGATTGATAGTTTCTGTGCCTGCAACATTTCAAAGATAACGCGAAGAGTAACTTCCTGCTCTTCCCGGGCGGGGTTTTTTGCGCTTCTAGTTGGTCGTTGCATCGTACGCTCATGTAGGTGTGAGACGTTTCGTCTAATTGCTTAGCATCCTACGAATCTGCGTCTACTGGGATTGGTCCGGGAACGCCGTCAAGATTCTGTGGAGGTGCTCCGACGGCCGGAATGGCCATGCTGTTTTCCCCGTGGTCTTCGAGGCCGTTGTTCTCAACCCTGTTTATCGAGCCGCGCATTTTGACCTACAATCAAAGAGTTCTCGGGCAAGAAAAATTGTGAAAGATATCGTGCGTTCAAGTGACGAAACTAGCAAGAAAATAAACACTATTATTTTTAGCCCCACGGTAGACACCAACCTGTTTACCGTGAAAATGGTAATAACAATTAAATTTGTAAATGGGATTCTAAAAATATGTGATCTATTCCCGAGCTAGTTTGAAAGGGTGATTAGTGCTAAACGTGAAGTAAAATAATAAAGATCGAGCTAGCCAAACGAAAATTGAATCAGTAAGGGGCGTTTTCGAGCATAGGACAAGCCAATAGATACCTCGGGGCCAGACCTCGAGCCGACTTCGAGCCTATCGTGGGTAATCTTATTGAGGGTAGTTGGGAAGGGAATAACAGATAAATATACAAATAAGTAAGACTTTCTATGATCAAATTTGAGCGAATTTTGTACGGGTTTATAAAGAAACTACTCCAAGTTTGGACTTTGAGCTGCCTCCCATAGAACCTATTGCTCAGCAGATCCTTTTTACAGAGGAAAGTATTCCCTATCTTAATTCCCTATATACGAGTCTCATTGAGAACGGGACCCAAGGGGAATACTTTATCCAAGTTATACAATTTATTCTAGGATAGTCTTTCTTTTTCTGATGGTTCCTGACGTACTGGAGTTATAACATTTGAATTTCTCTTACATTCTACGTTCACTTTCACACTGAAGCTTGAAAGGAAAAGTCAATTAAGAGAAATTCATAGCTATCTCCCATAGGCTATTCTTTAGATCGTTCCACTCGTTTAAGAATACTCATACAGTCTAATAAAATAATAAAAAAACCCAAAGAAAAGAAGCGAGGCTCGCTGAACTATTGATTAACGTCCTTCAAAGAAAAGAGCGTATTCTATTCCTTGCATGAAGAGTTTGATCCAGGCTCAGGATGAAAAGCTGGCGGCATGCTTCACACATCCAATTCAGACTATGTTTTCGATCAATCTCATTCGCTCTCTCAAATTTCTTATAATAAGAAATGAAATATCTGATTTGCTCTTTCACCTAGTTAAAGAAAGGTAATTGTCCGCCCAATAGAGCTTAGCCATGAATAGGCCGAAATGGTCTCGCGAAGCCGGTCCCCGGAATCCCAACGACAAAGTAAAACTTAGACTGGCCTGCTTAAAGCTAGCTTTCTAACTCTTTGGTCTATAAATAGAACTAGATCTCGACCTGGCTTTCTCACACTAAGAGGAAATGCAGACTTTCGGGCTTGAAGACTAACTTGGAAACCAGGCTTTCGCCCTTTAACCCAGCTTTCAAAGAAAACTGTCTGGAACAGCTGCTTTCAAGCATCAAGAATTGATGATGCCCCCCTTAAGACAGCAACTGGGCCCCCGGTAAATGGAACGGGCTGGAAAGAAACAACAATAGCAACTCCTTCTAAAACCCAGGAAAAGGGGAGATAGAAAGACTATTCAGTACAGCGGAGAGAGTCTATTTGATGGTAAGAGCTATAGGAGCCCTACTTAAGGCTTTTACAGTATAGTAAAAATATATGATATTAGAGAAGAACGGGGAAGCAAGGGAAGGAGAAGCTGTTGTGAATGAATCGGTCTTGGGAGTAAAGGCGTGCCTTAAGGCAGCGAGGGACGAAAGGATAGAATGATTCTTTGTATGCGCGAGCTGAAATACAGTTAGTTTCATTAGAGCCATTTTCTCACTTAGTTACCAACTTCCAATTCAAGTGCCACCGAGTAAATGGTAGCTTCAGATGAGATAAACCCTTGAGTCCAACGACGGATCGTAAAGTAATGGTCTCCAATGACCCAAGGTTTTTTTTACATGCTGATAATCATTCTTATTCCCTTTCTCCGAGTTGAGGACATTCATTGGCTGCGGTGCCAGTTACACGATCGAACATCAGGCAGTCACTTCACTAACAACTAGAATGATAGCAGAATGGCTTAATGAAACTACCAAGACTAGAGGGATTGGAATGATTGCAAAACCCTAACTTCCAAGACTTTACGATTAACTTACCACAATAGGACGAGAGGGAGATGCCTCAGACTAAGAAGAAAGGGCGAAGGAAATGGCCCCGAAAGAAAGGAAAGCTAGGACATGAAGTACATTCCCCCATCAAAGGGGTGGAGCTAGTTAGACCATTACCGAAAGATTCCATTCCAATCCTTAAAAAAAGAAAGAGAATGGAAAAAGCTCGTGACACAAGAAGGGCAGGAACCTTAATACCTGAGGAAAGAGATAGAAATGGATTACTTGCTTCTCCAAAGGCCCCACGCGGTTAAGAAGCTGAAAGAGAAGCTACTGGGACGGGCATGGGCATCCTCACTGACGCTATTTAGTTATTCGGGATCAGAATTCCCACTAGAGAAGACGGGAATTGAGTTATGATTGATGAAAGTCTGCTATGTATTAAGTAGTAAAAAGAGTCTCAATTGACTGGCATCGCCCTTCACTCAAAAATTCCTCAAAGAAAGCAAGCAGCAAGTCAGTCTGCGCATAGCATACTATCTCAGTTATTCTCCTTTCCTTTTACGACCGGTCGAAGGGGAATAGAAAATGTTAGTCAAGGAGTGAAAGCCACTTGACTCTAAGGAGAGGAGCTCACTATCAGGACGGACGGGTATAAGCGATTAGCGATAAGCTATAGTTTCCCTTTTGCCTCGAATGACTGCTTTAAAGTCAATTGTGATAGAGCTCTTTGAAAGGAGGTTAAGGCATCTGGATTAGGTTCCGGACTAAGGGACTGAATTGGCACCATCTTTTCAGCTATGTCAAAGAGTCATTTCCACGCCACTGATGCTGGAGTTGTCGAAGCTTGGGCTGTCTACTATGGAATGAGGCTAGCATTGGAAGCTTTCTTTTACCGAATAGATGTGGAGACAGGCAGTGCAATGTGGGAGCCGTGCTCCAACAAGACCCGAGCCTAGCATTGGACACATTGTGGATGATATTAAAGCTCTAATTTCTTCTTTTGAAGTTTCTAATTGAATGCTGATACTCAATGGTAAGAGGGTGGCACATCAATTAGCTAAACTATCCATTTCATCATCAGGGATGGGGAAAATATGGTTATAGGAGGTTCCTGAATAAAATTCCTCTAATAAACNGGGTAGAGCCTCTAGCGCCAATGTCGATGAATCAAAGGTGTCTGTTTATGGTATGGAATAGGAAGAGCAAGAATGGAACCGCTATCGCTTGTCCTATCATCCGCGATGAGCTTCTTTCATTCGTCAGTATGGGGTAGGTAGAGTCCTTTGCTCGTATGCTTGGCATTACTATAGTCGCACCAGTCTTCCTTCCTTTTTAGTGCACATGAAACGGAAACCCTAATAGAGACTACCCACACGGTGATCAAAACTCTTCCTTCTCTGCTTCACTGTCAATTGATTGGCGCATGAACGAGGCTGTAACGGAGCATGTACGCGACGATCAAACACGGCTTTGCCAGCTGCCTGTGATAGGAAAAAGAAAACTTGATCAGATAGTTCGTGCGGGGCATTTCCCACCTCGCCTTTGATCTTTCCCTTGCCGTGTAGGTAAAGCTAGAAGAGCCTCATTGGCCCGACAGCTGACAAGCAAACCTTCCATTCTTATGTTTACATCACTTCTCTCTTTCTCGCATTGACCGGACAAAGGTTTCAAATGAGCATCCCATGGGGCAGCCATAGCTTGAACCTTCCTTCTCGCAGTCAGCTATATAACTCAGGCAGCAAAGGTTCGAGCAGGATGGCGGTTAGTCTTCCTCGTCTCTTTCGGGTGGGCGGCGGGAATAGCTCTTCTAGCATCAGCATGGATTGACCAGAGACTGGGAGTAGTCGTCATCTTTTTCCATAGTAGTCATCCAGCAAGAAAGGGAAAGACCACTTAGCGCAGTGGAATAGGAAAGAGAGCGTCGAGCACAGCTTTCGTGTCACCAGAAATCCTTTTTCGTTTATTGGGAGACTGAATGAAAAAGGCTTTGTCAAGCAGGCATGATTGTCACGTCGATCGACAGTTGAGAAATACTATCTCCGGGGCCCTCACTTTAGGGCTATCTTTCACCGTTGACAGACATGGTTCAACGTGCCAGCTACGCTTCCTCTTCTAGAACAGTGACAGCCTAGTCTGATTCCCCCTTACGAAAGTGCCACAGCTCCTTCTATCATAACCCCTGAAAACTGGGCATTCGAAGCATCATTCTCATTCTATGCTCTATGCCATCTTCCTTATACTTTGACTTTTAATTCATGTGCGCAAACCTCCCTCACAAAGGAAAGCGGGAAAGTCATCTTTGCAAACAAAGGCCTTTTTCTTATACTATGGAATCTTGTCCAAAGCGAGCGGTCATGTAAACCCTTTGTCTATTCGGCTCTTTCCTTTAATAAGAACAATCTAAATGTGACACTTTCATGACGAAATACCGGGAATTTTTGATACTAGAGTCCCCCAGGAAATTAAGCCAATGATCGACTGTCCCTGCCCATTCTAACGGGGCATTCTATTACTTCAAGTCCCACAGCTCTAAATGTGCCTATTCCTTCGACACCTTTCCATGGAAACAGGGGAAAAATGGCTTATTCCGCATCAACCTAAGCCCGCTTATTCCGACTAAGTGATCCATTGGCGAAAAGAGGGCCTTCCTCCTTCTTGCTTGAAGCTCTGTCAAAGAAGCATTCTATTCCGAAAAGGCTTAGGGCTAGGCTAAACCTCCCTCAAAGCCATGAAGTCCCAGAGCTCTTATTCCAAGAACTGGTGATATTCCCTTAACTGCAGATTCAATAGCACCGGTTATGAACCCCAAAAACAACAGGAAAGAGAGCACCGTCTACTCAGACTGTCACACCGGCAACGAGAGCAGTAAGAGCAGATAGTGGAACAGAACTAGCAGCAGATAGGCATTCAGTTAGCTTGAAAACGGACTCGTAGTTAGAAATCAGATGCTTCCTCAACAACTATCTTTAGAATGTCCTATCTCTCTCTTCAACGCTTTAAAACGAGCTAGAAGGCTTCTCTTAAAGCAGAAAAATAGGAGTTATAGTAGTTTCAGCTATTCGATTCGAATGAGTGCCCTCACTTCCTTTCCTTACTACGATATGCCCAAAAAAAGAAAAAGAAAGTGCAACATATCAAAGAGCGATGACACAAATTATCAGTGACCTCCTACATAACATATGCGAGCCTTACGTGGACGATTTGGTAGTCTTTTCAAAAGAAAGAACCGACCACATCGAAAATTTACGCAAGGTCTTCGAAAGGTTAAGAAAACATCAATTGAAGATGAACCCGAAAAAATGTGCATTCGGGATCGGGCGGAGGCCTTAAATCAGTAGGGCAATAGCATAGCTATTATTGACCTGACCCCTATTACATTACTTAAGCCTACTCTTTCTTCAAGATACGAAACGAGCAGCCGAAAACGGCTGTCCCTATTGTATTTTAGATGGAGTCATCTACAGGGCTAAGAATCTTACCTTTACTTAGAGAGGGGTAGCGGTACCATGCTCTTCCGTGCTCGTAGGTTGACTCACCTATGCATCCCGACTAAGGTCTCACAAACGTGCACTTCCCTTATGCATCCAACCGCTTCACTAGTGTGAATAGGTTATACAGAAGGGTAGGTTGGTTATATACTCTTATGCGCCTTCCTTCTTCGAACCTTTTGGTATGTATTGCCCCCTAACTATAGATCAGATCCACCAGACAAGAAACTCAATTCCGCACTGCTGCTGAGTCGTCGGACTTATCCACCAAGGGATTCGTGGAATTTCTGTGGATTGCGTTGGGGGAAATCTACCAAAGCTAGGCAGATAGATAGACTCCTTTCCCGCTGCTAAGGGAGAGCAAGAAAGAAAATCAAATGATTGTTTTTTAACCAGCGCCCTCTTTTGGGTATGCAGGTACTAAGAGTCCTCTCACTACCAACCAGCAGACATCATCTGGCTGGGTCTTGCCGGTATCAACAACGAGGAAGAAACAACCAAATGGAAACAGCAACTAACTATGGCTCTTGGCCCAGACAACGTCCTAGGCGTAGGGGAGATCGGAGCAACAGGGAACGCCTAGACGACGTTTTTCTTCCTGGGCTGCAGTAAGTAGATCGAGAGGTCGTTCCGCCCCTTGTCCCCGAATATGGGGAATATGTTCTCATAAAATCTTGCTCCAATCTGACCTAGCTGGCGAGCGATCCCAGTTCGCGACAGAGAACAAGACAGCAAGCGAGCGTACTTTTGTTCGCTTCTTCTCCACCAAGCACGGAAGTTTAAGGATAACTGTAGGTCGGTGGCTACCTAAGGAAACTCCGATTCGATCCGCCCCCCGGCTGGGAGGCATCTACCTCATCCCGATCACAAGGAGAGGTTCACTATGATGGGGGTACTTTTT